ATAAATGCAAATTAAAATTTTACCCTTACAGACGGCAGTAATGCGAATAAGCCAGCCGCAAGGTTGTGGGTTCGAGTCCCACCGCCAGTATACTTTTTTATTTCCTTATCATTAATTTTTTTTAAGTTCTATATATTTTTTACGTTACTTTCAGTTAGTTGTTGAATTTTTAACAAAATTCATCTCTAAAAATTAAAATTAACTAATAGTAAAATATGAAATGTGATATAAAATGAAGCAAATGAAAATAAAATAAAGTATAATTAAATATATAAATAAAATAAAATAAAAAAATATAAAATAAATAATAAAAACAAAAAATTTTTCGCAATCGCTCCAACCGAGTATCGAACCTGGCAGCTACAGGCTTGTAGCTCGCAACCCTCACCACTCGGCTACCGCGTACGCGAAATTCGATTGCTTCGTTTGCTTACTTGTACAAAAGACAACAACTGGCCGTTTTTACCAGTGTTGTCATCGAAAATTCCCCGGATCCGAGTTAATTCCCAAAAATTTCGTGCATTTGTTCGGCTGCTTATGCTCATTTTAAAGAGGAAAATGCATGAGTTAAAGCAAATTAAGGCTGGTAATGCAAATAATCGAGCCCGTTTGTCTACCGTATAAGGCGGAGTTTTGTCGTCAAAAGTAAGCATTTTATAGTCTAACAGTTATATTCAACAGTTGCTTAATTTGAAAACTTATTACCCATTCTTTCAGGCTTTCAATAAATACTCCTATAATAGTTAATTGCCCTTTCGCTAATTTTTTGAATGCTATGCATAAAACGAGTTTGGTATTAAATATGTTATCCATAATGTACGGCAAATGGTTTTTTATGAGAAGCGATTTCATGGCAGAAGTACACTCGGAGGTTTGAAATAGAGCAACATTTCCTGGAACCATATACGTGATCTGGATGACAGTTTTCCTAAAACAAATTTGAAAAATTGATTGAAATGGTAACTCTTCTGACTATGCGTTTTTGAGGAATATTTTCTTTTTTGACTATTTTAACAAAAAAATTTTGCAAAATTAAGAAAAATTTAATATTTTACCAGGCAGGAAATTTGTTTAAAAAAAACCTAAGATTAAGTCGCCCCTGCCTATATGATTAGCATGTGCTACGAAATAATTTTTCGCATTTTCTGACGAACGTATTATTTTGAGTTGTGACTCTTTTGAAGACGGTGTGCGATATGTTAATATTAGGGCTGCGACTATCCGTTTATTTGGATATCCGAATATCCGTTCGGATAATCGTATATACGGATAAAATATCCTTATTTTAATATGCGTTCTGTTTTTTATCCGGATATCCGGTTAATAACCGTTAATTTAGTTAATTTGGATTTTGAATCAGATACTCGAATATCCGGATAGAACTCCCAGCCCTAGAGTAAATGTATGTATGTTTCTATGTACATATGGTTATTCCTACAAGAAGAGAATAATGCGCATATTTACATATACATAGGTACAATTGAAAGGTCGCGACGATTCAATTACCTCGATAATTGCCCCCCATGATAAGTATTTTTCCAACATTGTCCAAAAACTTAGAGCCATACATGCTGATGCACATAGCAAAATTAGTTAGTGGCCCCACCAACAAGAAGTCCACCATTTTAGGATGCTGTAAAAGATGATGTCGAGCTGTGTGTTTATTTTCATGCTGGTTTTCCCAACAAAAACTTATTGAAGAGTGAAGAGTCATGCGTACCTTGCAGACAAAATCGTACATTGCATTTACCGCATGTTCCGGGTGTACTAGATTCAGATCAACTGACTTCTCGTGTTCCAAATCTCCAAAGCCATCCTTTCCAACAAAATATTTGGGATTCTCCCAGGGTCGCGGTTTTATAAGATTGCTGCAACCCTTGTAAACTGGAATCTACATTTGTATGTATGTATGTAAATAGATGGGTAATGTGTGCAGATAATAAAAATGTTAGTTCCCAAAAAAATACTCGCTTACATACAAATGTATGTACATACATCATTTCTATTGACTGCATCCAGCACTCTGAGTGTGTTTATCACTGCATAATCTACTTCAGTGTTTCCTTGGACGCATGTGACACCAATTATTTCAAATTTTTTTGATGCACTGGCTAAATCGTTATGCCTTTTGAATGCCTCTTCAGCTTTAATCAGCATCATTAGGCCCCATGCATCGTCGTTGCCAACATCACAATCGTATACTACATACCTTCCCATTATTTTGAATTGTTCTTGCTGCTAAGTTACACAATTGAGAACTTGATTGAAGCTTCTAGTATTTGGTATTGTTTTTTCAATTACAAATGTACATATGTGTTCAGGGGCGGTTACAGGGGGGGTGGGGGCGGTTGAGGTGGTCGACCGGAGATCACCACATCTCCTCATCAGACTGCTTTACTGGGATTCGATCCATTATAAGTTAATCTTGCTTTTCCATAATAGTTTTCATTAAAAACGGTCTTAAGCTCAATAAAATTGTTGAATATAATTGTTATAAGCCCATAAATAGCAAACAAAAAATTTAACGCAATATATTCATTTCATATCAGGGGTATAACAGCAAACGCATAGAAAAAGCGCTTGCATAGCCACGTTATTTACCGATATCGCTAGGGAATTGAATTTTAACCTTGTCCTTCCTCGGAGAGCGAATAGACAAAATTTTCGTGCTAATTGTCGTGCATCGAACACTGAAGATTTTTATCGAAAGGCAATATTTATACCGCTAGTGGATAATATTTAGCTCAATTACAAGAACGATTGTCGAAAGAGATATTAAACATTTTTGACAAACATTGTAAGCAAGAATAAGTACTTAATATATATATATATATATATATAAATTTTATGACAATACACTTCACTTCGCACTTCATAAAAATTACTCGAACTTCTATTTGCATGAAAAATAGACGAGGGTTCAAGCAGGTTTGATGCTTCTAACTGGGTCATATAGTTCGAACTTTGATTGGTCACTCCCCGGGGAATCAAGTTATATGCCTGTAGTTAAATGTTATTTGACAAGTTGGTCCCAATCCCCCTCCTCCGCCCCCACCTCCCCTTTAATATTGCTGCGCAAGCTAACTTCTGAAACGTCCGCACTTCGTTGCAGTTAGTTGAATAGTAAATTGCTTAGTGCTCGGCCATAACTCTTCCATTCGCGAAATCAGATTAAGATATTCTATATCAGCTACTGTGGGTTATCAAAAATAACATTAGAATTCATTGCAGTATATTCATCTCATGCTGAAGCACATTCAGGTGGGGTTTCTATACTGTGAACAGTGCCGGATTTAGGATCTATGGGCCCCTAGCATTTTTCCGTGGTGCGGGCCCTCCCAAGAAGTACTAAGAAAAACGGCGGCCACGGGTCTCCACCAGATTTTATTTTTTTTTTATAGATAAGAGGTTTTCTATACAATCTAAAAATAAAAGCTTTATAAATTTTAAACCACGTTACATTTTTTATTATTAACTGCAAAAAAAAAATTTGTAATTTTTACACATGGGTGTTTTCCAGCGGAAAGTCTACCGCGAAAAAAAAATAGAATGCGTATATCTAGTTTATTTATGAGGCAATTCTTCTGAGCTTCTTTTTATAACATAACCTGGTTATTTAAGCAGAAAAATGTTTACGACAAATTATCTAGCTTGGTGGCGCCAGGGTCGAGTTATTTTGAAAAGCCGTATTTATGCTCTAATTTGTTTCAAATTCGACATGTTTAGTTGAAATGTAAAATGCATGTTTTCTTCGTGTTAAAAATTCGTTCAAAAACAATATTACCAAAACTTTTTAAATGGAAATTTCAGTAACGTAACGTCAAGTAACGTCACGTTAGATAGTTCAGCTGATTAACAAAAAAAAAAAAACAGTAACGATTTTTACATTTAAAAACTTGAAAACTGAACCTTAAATATTTAAAATAGCACTACAAAAAATTTTATACAAATAGTCTTGTCCAATTCGCAAAGTTTTGCAATTTTGTAACCCAAGTCAAAATCCACTTCAATTTTTTGGTAACGTCATTTAAAAATTTTTACTTTTTAAATTTTGTTTACATTACGCATACAAATCTCACGTAACGCCAGATTGGAAATGCCCATATGTACAGTGACGAACAAAAGTATTAACACAGAGAATTTTTCGCAATATATGCAAAGTTTTTATTCTAGTTTCATTTAGCTAATTTTTTATAAAAATATAGTTCATACTACAACAAAAAAAACATAAAAATAAAATATTTGCTGGCAACTTCTTAATTTTTTTCATAGTCCGGTTGAAATTGCAGGCAAAATATTTTTTATTTGTATTACCTCGCTCCCTAAATTGTCATCCAAGTCGTTTTCGTAAACAAAAAGGGTTTTACTTACTGCTGATATTTCTTTATCACCAAGCGTGTCTAATTTATTGAGGAACCCAAAACGTTCGTGGACAAGTTTGTAGGTCTCAATCCTCTTTTTCAGTTCACTCTCAAGTTCGTTTATTAAAGGTATGAAACCTTGGCTCGAAATTTATTCGATGATTTTTTAATGTCATCTAATTTTAAAAAAATATGTTTATTTATTTTTGCTTTATTTTAATTTTACTTGGTTAGTTCTTCATTTTTTCTTTTGTTTATTAGTTATTATTATTTTAAAAAGAAAAAAAAACATATATTTTTAATTTTATTTTATTTTTAAAAAGCTTATTGCTAAAGGTCAACAGCATAACGCAAAGACCTCCTCGTTAGCAGATCATTCAATTAGTCTTTCGACAGACAGTAAAGAGCTTTCAAGATAGTTGCCACAATTCACAATTGTCTTACGAAGGACTTTTGTCTTTCGAAAGACCGTGGTGAGTTGAAAGACGGTAGCCAGAAAAGAGGTCATTAGTATTACATTTTATAATTTCACTAAATTCAAGTTAGAATCGTTTCATTAATACTACATATGTTCACGTTGAACCATAAACTCGAGTTTAACGTTTTTTAGGAGGATTTTTATACAATTTATTTATTTCCAATTCACAAATCCTTTTCCAATTCACATTCCATATAAACACCTTTAAGTCCCGCTGTCCATGCAATAATTTTTTTGTATCCTTCCCCATTCACTTCCATAATAATTTTTGCATTCTCTTTCTCCTGTCTCAAGTGATCTATAACCATTTGACCGCGTGTGTGTGTACCAGCTAATTCAACGGTGGCATGATAGAGTTGACTCTGTTTCACCGTCAAATGCGGAAAGAGGTAGGCTGCTACTAAAACAGCATCACACACTAGCCAACGTTCCAAGCCCTTCGGTATGAATATGGCACGTTCCACAAGATTCATCAGTTCGATGAAATCACTTTTAATAGTGCCAAGAACATTTAAACGAAAATCCTGGGAAGATTAAAATAAATACAAGTACATATATATATGTTTTACATAATAATTTAGTTAGTAAAAATATTGAATTTAGCGTTTACAAGTGTAATATCAAAATCTCCATCGATGCACGTTTCCCACGGTAGAAGAGTCACAGGAGTGGGAACAGATGCTAAAACAATGTGTGCAGCTTCCGGATCCATCATAAAATTGAACTCAGCACTTTTGGTGATGTTGCCTTTGCCTGTAACCACAAAAGGGGTTTTAAGTACGTAAGTACACATTTTTGGTGAAGAATATATGTATGTATGTATATATTTAGTACGTAAACCAAAATTAAATACACAATTATGTTTGATTGTTTTTTTTTTATGAGAGGATTAAAATCCTTTTGAATATGTGCATGTAGGTAGGGTGGAAAATGGTACGGGGTTAAAATGCTCTACAGAATTATATAAGTATCATCAAAAAAAAAAACCTATTTCTATTAAGCCCTGCAATGGATTTTTTTATAAATTTTCTAGAAAATTTTATGGAAGGATTTAAAGTTTTACCATGATGCAAAAATTTTAGAGGCAGCCTGAATATTTTTGAAATTTGCTAACATAACGAAAATGTTTTCAAGTTTTCAATCTCACCCATGCATTCTCACTTTCGGTTTCAAACCCCTATAAACATTCGAACTCATTTTAGAGTCAGAAAAGTCTCAGAATTCTGAGTTTTAACCCCCATCATGAGCTCAAAAAAGGGTCAGAAAAGAGCATATTTCCCTTCTTAGAAAGGCACGCCATTATGAGTCCAGGCTTTCTGAGTATTAAAAACAAATATTCTTTATAATTCCGATTATTAATAAACTTTTACTTCTACGTGTGACTTTTGTTCAACTCAGAATTTACGACACCAATAGAGTCCGAAAGGTGTCAGTCTGGTTGACTGGTCTCAGAATCATATTTATGACGAAAGAAAGACTCATAAATTGTGAGCACTCAGAAAATTGTTTAAAGGGATAAAGCGAAATTGAATATTTTCATCTATTTGATTTTTGTTTTACTTTTATTTGGCGTTTGAGTTGCTCTGAAAATTTCAATTTTGTAAAGTAGACAAAACTGCAAAAAATAAATCATGGCCGATGAATTTGACTATAGATCTCTGAAGACGAGAATTATGTTTGATGTTGATTTATATATTCCTAAAATTAGATCCTTATACATATACATTAGGGCGGGTAAATTTTTTGACTACGCACGTATAGCATAGGAGAACCCTACGTGTAATTCTAAACAAATTTGCCCATGGAGCTATGGGTCTAAAATCATTTTGGAGTTTGCCAAATTGCGAAATTAGTTTCGATAGAAATGTAAAAATGTTCACTGTTGCGTCCTCTGGTGGAAGTTTTAAGAAAAAAATAAGTCCAGAAATAGATTCCTCATACCAAAAAAACCACTTGTAGCATGTTTTTATACAAAAACTTTAAGCACTTTTCTACGACACTACAACAAAATGCTAAGAGAGATATTTTCGCAATTTGGCGAACTCCAAATTTATTTTAGACCCATGGTTTCTTCGGCATATTTGCTTAGCATTACGCCTAGAATCCTTCTGTCGAAAAAAATCTCCCATACAAATTTCCCCGCCCTAATATACATACATACATAATTAATTGTTTACCCCTATAATTTCCACCCATAATGTAGATTTTTCCAATTTTATCCAAAAATGCTGAGCCATACATATTGATGCACGTCGCAAAATTGGTCAGCGGCCCCACCAATAAGAAGTCCACCCTTTTCGGGTGCTAAAATGTTAAGAATTCAATAAATGTCTTGATCTGTAAATATGTACATACGAGTGTATGTAAAAGTATTCTTACCTTGCAAACAAAATCGTACATCGCAATTACCGCATGCTTTTCTCGCACCAAATTCAAATCCACTGGCTTCTCGTGTTCCACATTTCCAAAACCATCTTGTCCATGAAAATTTTCGGGATTTTTCCATTCATTTTTCATGATGGGACTACTGCAACCTTTATAGATTGCCAACTGAGAGCTTTTCGTTTAGAATTAGATTTTAATTACATTAACAGCCATTTAAATACCTACATCATTTCTGCTGGCTGCTTTCAGTACTCGCAGCGTATTTATCAGAGTCTGATCGACACTTGTGTTTCCTTGTACGCATGTGATGCCGATAATTTCAAATTTTGCTGGTGAATCTGCCAATTCGGAACGATTTTGGTACACTGCTTCAGCTTTAATGAGCATCATCAGACCCCAGGCGTCATCATTGCCAACATCACAATCGTACACCACATATCTGCCCATATTTTAACTATAATGTAGAAGCTAGATTAAAAATAACTACATATCTACGTACGTATATTTCCACAGCAGTATGACAAAATTATGTAATAACTTAAGTCAAAGCTCTTTAACCAATATTTAGTATATGTATGAAATGCAGTAAGTATATGTACATACATATATTTAAGTACCCAATATGAAAATAATTTAAGAATTAATATATCNTTCGGATCCGCAATTAAAAATATTGTTTTTACATTAAATCGTATGTGCTTAAACTGATAAATGATATAAACATA